TATGTCTTTCCCTTACCTGATTTTCTCCACAAGAGTCCCTGCTAGCATGCATAAGCGTAAAACGAAAGGCACCAGCCGATGTTGACCCTCATTTAATGTTAAATGTCCACCATATATATATATATATATATATATATATATATATATATTACCCACAAATATTACTCCATTTTAATTAAACCTAAACTTTAAGTAAGAAAGATTACCTATATAAAAATAATTACAAATTGCATTCATAAATTAGATTCAAACGGATAAAGATGTTACCGTAAATGTTTTTTACAATATTAAAAAAGTACGGTTGGTCGGGTAAACAAACTGTTATAATTTAATTTTTTTTTAATATGTTCTCTATAAATGTGTTAATGAATATAGTATTTAACTTATATTAAAACCCTGAACTATTTGTAAAAAAACTAAATATTTAAATTGATAGCAAGCATCATATTAATTTCTTCGTTTTTTTAAAACATCTAAATTACTATCAAGCATTAAAATCTATTCTTTACATAAATTGCTAAAACCCAATTACAGCCTCTTTCTCTTTACTTCCCTCTCCCTCTTATTTCTTTTTCCTTTTTCTTTTCTCCCTTCTCCCCTCCCATTTCAATATATCAACTCCGTTAAGTTAACCGTCTAAATAGGTCAAGGTCTGGTCACTCCTCCTCCCCCAATATAAAGTATGCTTGAGAGAGATATGAAATTAATCCCTCCCTATACTCTACCATGTCTCTTTAACTACTCCTTTTACACTCTCTGTTACATTATAAAAACTTACACTACCCATTAATTTTCATTTAATTTTTCGTTTCATTTCATTTTTGGAAGTGATATCTGATGATCCGGCGTCCTTTAAAAGGGCTCTTGTGAAATAAATTATTATAATGGTACCTTAAAGTGGTCTGTTTTTCTTTTAAATATTAGCTCTGAATTTACATTGAACTCTCAGGATTTCATCCTCCTTGGGATTACCCATACGGATTACCAAGTTCTTCATAACTTGGACGGACCTAAAAACATAAATCTTTTACACATTCTGAAATTTAAACTCAATGCAGAGAATCTGGGAGAGTGTATAAATAACTTTCGGGGTGAACTAGAAATTATAAAGAAAGATAGAGAATAAATTTTAACAGATTTTTCCCAAAATGTCATTCACTTTCACACTTTTCTTTCCCCAAGAGAAGCAGCAGCTTGGCAAGAGAAGTACTAATGATTTATTATTTAAGGGTACACACAAATACAAACATATTTCTTTCGTTTTTGATTTGATGAAGCTTAGAAAGGCGAAACGCGTAATCAAATCTCGCTTCAATGAAACGGTTTTCGATTGGCCAAATTTCTTCAAAACTTTGTCAGGATACTGCATTATCCTAGCTTACACACACACACACACACACACACACACACACACACACACACACACACACACACACACACACATATATATATATATATATATATATATATATATATATATATATATAAGTTCTGGTCAAAAGTATCAGGGGGTATTTTTATGGTAGTGGAGCTAAAATACATTGAAGTCGGTTAACGTATATATATATATATATATATATATATATATATATATATATATATATATATATATTAAAGACATTTTTATGTTTAACGTTCTTTTTTATAGATACAACTATTTAAGTAAATGCTCTGTTTCATGCTAGATGCAATCATCAAGCTATGAGTGCTGTTTTTTCTTGACTAATTTGAATAAAAAACCTAAAAAGATTGCACCTAGCATGAAACAGACTGTCGCGTCTCTGAGTATTGACTTCAATGTTCACTTTTATATTTACATACGCCCTATCTCTGATATTGAGCACTTTATCCCTTAAATATAGCACACCTTAAACTATATTTCTTCATATATATATATATATACATTTTTTTTACAATTGAATTAAGATAGCTTTTAATTAATGACCATTTTCACCTACTAATTTTATTTTAAAAATTTGCAGGATTCTTGAAGCTGTTTATGGTATGAGTTTGTAGGGGATACTGGTTAGTTGGGGAAAGAACGAGAGATAGGGTGTTAGAGGGACATAGTGGGAGATATAGGCAGAAGAAGGCACCATTACATGAATTATATTATGCAGGTAGGAGAGCAGGTAGCTTAAAGGTATCTTAATTCCAGTTGTAAAGAAATTTGGTCTGTTTAATGAAAATAAACACTGAGCGGTCTTTTGTGAGTCGTTTTAACTTATTTCACCTGGATTATACCAACTCTGTATATATATATATATATATATATATATATATATATATATATATATATATATATATATATATATATATTTGGTTAGATATATATATATATATATATATATATTTGGTTGACAAGATATATATATATATATATATTTGTGTTTTTTAATATATATATATATATATATATATATATATATATATATATATATATATATATATATATATATATATATATATGGTTGGAAATATATATATAGTTATATATATATATATATATATTATATATATATTACTGCACCCAGGAACAGACAGTTGTATTTATATATATATATATATATATATGTTATTTATATATATAAGTCGCCATAATGACAGTCATGTTTTGATGGTTAATATTATATATATATATATATATATATATATTTGGTTGGATATATATATATATATATATATATATATATATATATATATATATTTAGTTGGATATATATATATATATATATATATATATATATATTATATATTGGATATATATATATATATATATATATATATATATATATATATTTAGTTTGGATTTATATATATATATATATATATATATATTTAGTTGGATATATATATATATATATATATATATATATTTCGTTGGATATATATATATATATATATATATATATATATATATATATTTATATTGAATTGATATATATATATATATATATATATATTTTAGTTGGATATATATATATATATATATATATATATATATATTTATATTGTATATATATATATATATATATATATATATATATATATATATATTTATTTAATTTGGATATATATATATATATATATATATATATATATATATATATATATATATATATATTTGTTTATATATATATATATATATATATATATATTGGATGACAGTAATATCTCTTTTATGAAAGTACTGTGATTTAGTTTTTTATATAATTTTTTTCTTTTACGGACACAAATTATATAAAAATTGTCCTAATGTTTAATATATCCAAGCGCTTTCGGCTATACTTTTAGCCATTAACAAAGATGATTATATTTACTTTTAACCGAATATAAGGATTGTTTTATCTATGTATTTAGAGTTATAGGAATGTTTTATTTTCCAAACACGGTCAGCAAATTGTGGCTGTCTTCATATTTGAGTGTTGGCGTTTTTTTTTTTAATTAATAATGCTGCTAATATTTGTGCCTTTTTGTACACATGGAAAATCTTTATATAATTTATGTCACGAAAAGAAAAAAAAAGATTATACGAACATATGAAAAATTAAATATAAAAATTTAACCTCATTGTCAGTAGTTTTTAACGGAACTGGCATATATATATATATATATATATATATATATATATATATATATATATATATTACTGCACTCGGTTCAGTCATTGTATTTTTACATGTGTGTGTGAGCGTATGTGTGACAAGTACTTGGGACTGCTTTAATGTCATAGTGACAGTCATGTCAGGTTGCTGATTATGTGTTATTTATTCTCGTTCAATTTCTGAAGTTAATCAAATGAGCCTGGATTAATTTTGATGGTCCAGATATTACTAATGAACGTCTGCATATTCGACTAATGACAAGGAAATTATTGGAGAGAAGAAAGATGAAATTTTATGAAGTAAAACCACAGGTAATAATCAAATATAGGTTATGCTAACAATTATGCGGCTTATTTTTTGAGTCGCTGCATGAGTCATATATATATATATATATATATATATATATATATATATATATATATATTTGAGATGATGAGGCTAAATGGAAAAAGTACGCCAACTGGTCATAATTTTTCAGATCAAGAAGAAAGATAAAAGTGTGTAAAAGTGCGGTGGAATATATGGCGATAAGACAGGTAATAAATTACATTTCCTTATCAGATCGGACGACCCAGGAACAGACAGTTTTTGTTATATATATATATATATATATATATATATATATATATATATGGCCTGACGATTGCATCTAGCATGAAACAGACTGTCGCCTCTAAGTGTTGACTTCTATGTTCACTTTTATATTTACACACGCCCTATCTCTGATATTGAGTACTTTATCCCATAAATATAGCACACCTATATTTCTTTCATATATATATATATATATATATATATATATATATATATATATATATATTCTTAAATATAATACATATATATATATATATATATATATATATATATATATATATAGTTGTTATGAAGAACTTGGTAATCCGTATGGGTAAAATCAAGGAGGATGAAACCTGAGAGTTCAATGTAAATACAGAGTAATATTTAAAGAAAAATAGACCACTTTATGGCACCATTATAATAATTTATTTCACTAGAGCCGGCGTTTAAAAGGCCCAGGATCATCAGATAGCACATCCAAAAATATTTCATTTTTGGAAGTGCTCTCTGATGATCCGGCGTCCATTATAAATATATTTGGGGCCAGGTGAAATAAATTATTATAATGGTACCTTAAAGTGGTCTGTTTTTTTTAAATATATATATATATATATATATATATATATATATATATATATGTGTGTGTGTGTGTGTGTGTGTGTGTGTGTGAGTGTCTGTGTGTGTGTGTGGAGTGTGTGTATATATATATGTGTGTGTGTGTGTGCGCAAATATTTTGACATGAGACGTATAGATGTCATGACCCATTCACCTCCACACACAAAAAAGCTCCCAGGCTGAAAAACTACAAATGAACCTACTTCTTTCCCTCTCTCTGCGAACTACGGCCAAAGCGAAGGGTATGATGAAAAGACAAAAAAATGAAAGAAAGAAAGAAAGAGGGGGAAAATAGAAACGGATAGAGAGAGAGAGAGACAGAGAGAGAGAGGAGATAAATATATAACAGTCAAAACTTGGCCGCGGTTTATATTTTATTTCCGCTTGAATTAAAATTAATATAAAGATACTTTTCTTCGATGTGTCTTGGATTGTAGGATCGACTATCACAAGCGATGCTGTTCTAATTTCTCAGCAACTTTGACATTCAAGGATAAAAACGCGCGTACAAAATGAAGATAAAATGCCCATAACTTCCTTGAGGTGTTTACAAATTGTACACTGTTCAATTATTAACGTTATAAACAAACTAATTTAAATTACAAAACTGTACATGCATTCATCAAGTTAAAATTATTTAATATATAATGCATATTACTTATAATACATTACTTCTTGTCGTTAATTTTGACGCCAGGTGTACAGTAATATAGGGTCTGGTTCAAAATCGCAGCCACCTGAAGAAGGCCGGAGCGTACAGCGCTCGAAACGTCGTGAATATGGCAACAAAGATAAGGATAACAGTTTGAGCAATGTAAATAGTGTAAATAATTACAATGCCTCAGAAATATAGAGATAGTATCAAATGAAGTTTATGGAAAATAGAACAATAGACGATTAATTTTCATTTCATTTTGTGGAAACAAATATGGTTGGAGTACTTGTCACATTTTATTTAGAATTTGAATTAAAATTTACAAAACAGATGTAAATCGAACGAGATTCCCAAAATCAATTCTCTTTGGCATTGTGTTATCTAAAAACATATTTCTGACACACAAATGGGAAAGCGAAACATTTGGAAGGGGGAACTGGTGTAATGTTTAACAAGTATATCTCGCTAAATCAATTACGACTGAGAAGTTAGCTCGATCCTTACTGAGTGCTACATATGTTCGGCCTTGTGCCACATCTAAGCTACGCTTAGAGAATCATTTGGGCACCTAGACGAGGTGTAATGTTTAGTAAGCTTGTCTCTCTAGATCAATTTACGACCGAGTAGTGAGTTCGATTCTCAGTAGGTGCCCATTACTTTCGGCCTTGTGCCACACATAAGCTACGCTTAGAAAATTGTCTTGGGCACCTCGACGTGGTGTAATGGTGAGTAAGCTTTTCTAGCTAGAAGACACTACGACCGAGTAGTGAGTTAGATCTTCACTGGGTGCCCCATGCTTTCGGCCTCGTGCCACATCTAAGCTACGATTGGAGAATCATTTTGTTGACCTCGACTTGGTGTAATGGTTAGTAAGCTTGTCTCACGAGATCAATTTAAAATCGAGTAGTGAGTTAGATCCTCACTGGGTGCCCCATACTTTTGGCATTGTTCCACATCAAAGCTACGCATAGAAAATCGTTTTGGGCACCTCGACGTAGTGTAATGGTTAGTAAGCTTGGCTCACTAGATCAATTTACGACCGAGTAGTGAGTTCGATCCACACCGGGTGCCCCATACATTCGGCCTTTTGCCACATATAAGCTACGCAATAGAAAATCGTTTTGGGCACTTCTACGTGGTGTAATGGTTAGTAAGCTTGTCTGGCTAGATCAATTTACGACCGAGTAGTGAGTTAGATCGTCACGGTGCCCTATACTTTAGGCCTTGTGCCATATCTAAGTTACGCTTGAAAAAATAACAGCATTTGGAAAAGGGTACTTATTTGGAGTTAAAACACTCAAGCAGTATTGTAGTATCTCTCTTCTGTGTCTCAAGACAATGTTAGTATATAAAGAAAAATACTTATTTGATTTCCATACAACTTAATAACTACAGGCTCAGTTGTTTTTAAAGTCATGTTATTTGATGATGAAAAGATTTTGATTGCAGAGTTGTGAAATAGGCTAATGGTTTAACAACACTGAAAATGGAATCGATGAACAGAGTTCAAATACGGGCTTAGCTAGTTTAATGCTCACTTCATAGTCTGTAGAAATCAATTTTTCTTACGAAACGTTTAATACTGTTTTCTATTTTTTCTATATTTGTTCGAGAAAATGTAAGCAACATGATAAAATGTGCAATTAGTAATGGACTGAATAAACTTGACAGCCGGTTGTAAAATCTCCATATCTAAAGGGCGTACAAGTATCGTCGACTCGCTGAGTGAACAAGGAAGATAGCAATATACATGATGGATATGCAGCGATAGTTGAAAAGGAATGGTGGCGAGAAGAAAGGGTGAACGGTGGAGAGAAGAATGGGTGAACGGTGGCAATCCAGAAAGAAAAAAAAAATGAATAAGAGTAATTTAAACTATCGACCGGTTCACCAGGGTGAAATCAATACTTAGAGAGAGAAAAAAAAACAAAACAAAAAACTTTTGCCCGTTATATAAGTTTTCCGAACGTACCATGAATGACTACTAGCCATATATATATATATATATATATATATATATGTGTGTGTGTGTGTGTGCGTGTGCTCCTGTGTGTGTGTGTGGTTAGTAGTCATCCATGTATGTGTGTATGTATGTATATATGTGTGTGAGCAAACATACATGGATACATAAGTAAATATATATATATATATATATATATGAAAACTATTACTCCTCATATAAGATTTTATTTTCTGTACGAGAAAAGGATGACGAGCTACACACACACACCTAATTTTTATATATATATATGTATACTCACACACACACACGTATATACATGCATATATATATATAT